CTGGCACTTCTAGCCCTTCCCTCCTGCCAAGTGCCCCCAGAGCAAGCAGCATGCTATGGGAGCACCCAAGCAGGCTCGTTCCAGAGCCACTGCTATGTGTGTCTATTCACACACACAGCTGCTGTTCGCCCCCCCCTTTCTTTAGGCTGGCTATGCACTATACAATTTTCTGTCCAATTTCCTTTAGATTTACCTTCAACTAGTGCAAGGGCCTGCCTAATTGAAAGTGTTGTTTAAGTTTGACCTCATATTATATGCTTTTTGGTAAATCTAAAGCAAAATTCTCAAGAAAATTGTATAATGAATGGCCAGCCTTATTGCCTCACTGGCTGTGCTTGACCGCAATTGGAGCAAATGGCTTCCCCCGCTCTGTGCATGCCAGTGAGGCAGAAGAGTCTCTGGAGGGACGAGGCTGTTGTGTACATCACTGGATCGCGATGGGGCTCAGGTAAGTATTTTGGGGGGATGTTGCACACGGAAGGTTTTTTTGCATGGATGTAAAAACCTTGAGCCTTTACAAACACTTTTAAAGTGGGTGGAAACTCTTACATATACCCAGTGAAGTTAGTAGCCTCAGGTGGTACACAGAGATGAAACAATTCCTGTGTAGGCTTTACCTGTTTATCTGCGTCCATTCTAAGTACAGTATTTATATAGCTTTTCTGAGCTTTCAGAAAGCAGGAGGCGATTAGCTCAAGTTACATCCATGCTGGTGTGTCACCACCTTACCTCCATTCCTAAGATCTGCTGTGCTATCATCTATTCATTTCTGCACTGGGGCTAACTTATCTCTGCTCCTCAGCTGTGCCACAACTTCACCTCATCCCCTTTTTGAAGTCGGCTCTATTGACCACCTCACACTTACCTTCCCAGAACCTCATCCGCTGAAACTGCCAAGCCAAAAATTGAGGCATTGCCACTCCCCATCCTGCTGCAGGCTGGGAGGTTGGGTGGGCTGCCTAGGGACAGAGCTTCTGCTGGAAAATGCCATGTGGGCGAGTCGGTCTCCATGGATTGCTCTTCCCGGCAAACTTTTAAACCTCTGATTGGTTGCCGATCGTGTTTTTGTCTCACTCTGTTAAAAAGGATGCAGTAGCGGAGAGAGTATCAAATTTAACACCATGTGGCTTTCCATTCTTTAGCTCTTGTTACCGAATATTGTAGTGAGAGAGAGAGATCACAAGAGTTTTTACTTCTGTAATTCTCATTGGATTTGCTTGTGCAATTTAGAAGTTCTCTATGCGTGCTTTTTGATAATGTTGAGGGAGGGGCAGGTTCTGTATAAATAGCATTGCCCCTAAAATAGTGCTGCTTACTTTAGCTCTGCATGCTGGAATGGCTGCGCTAAAGACAAGGACCTGCCAACCAGCCAGATGGACTTCTCTAAAATGACTCTATAGGATGCAGAAAATGGAGGCATAACAGACTTAACAAACTAAGGCTGCCATACTGGTGAACTGATTGACCTGTGGCCCCCTCTACCTATAATTCCAGTACTGAGAGCTGCCATGCTACAGAAGTTCATCCAGTTGTGCTCAGCATCTGGTGTTTGTGTCTTCTACCCCAGGACTGTATAACTTGGGAAGCAGGAGTTCTGGAGATGTGGCGGCAGCAGTAATATTTTAGGCTTTCAGTTCCTGAAAAAAAACCCAAAAATGTGGTACTTTGGTTTTTGGAACTGGTTGTTTTTGGCATTAAAATTAGTTTTTACTCATACAGTCAACAATTAAAGAAGAAAAAGTATTTTAAAGGTGCAAACATTCCCCCAGGATAAACACACACAAATATATATAAAAAACAAGTTTTATTGCAAGATATGTTCAAAGCACAGAGACATATTTTGCTAACTCTGAAAACATTAAAGGTATCGCTGTTTTTTTTGGTTTTCTAATTCGCAAAATATGTCTCTGTGTTTTTAATCTTGTCAAATCCCACATACTTTTTCCTTCCTAATTTTTGCTTCTTGAAAAAGGGATATGGTGCAGATGGATCAACTGATTTCTGGTCCCTAACCATGTATGTCCGAGTACTACCTGAATTTACCCTCAAACCTTCCTCTTCTCCCCAACTCCATGTCCAGGGCCGATGCAAGGATTTTTGTCTACACAGGCGAAGGTGCATTTTGGCCATGTGAAAAAGTGGGTGTGGTCAAACTGTTAACAGTGGGAGAGGCTTAAGGAGCACGGGTCAACAGAACCATGCTTGTACCAACACAATATGCTTTGATTGTTGTGCCACAAGCAAGAGTCTCACAAATGCATATCAACCCCAGTACAATCATTGAAAAAAAGGAAAACAAAGCTTGTATTCTTGTACAAATTCTCTTCTCTCCCAAATCATCTCTGTGGCTTCTCCCCCTTAACCACCCATTCTAGCAAGAATCCTCTTGCCCTGCCAAAAGCCCCCTCCCAGCAAAAGCCTTCACCCTCCAAATAAATAAATAAAAACCCTCTTAAAAACTTCTTATTTTACCACCCAAAAATGTTTTTGTCTACAAATCCCCAGCATAAACTACCCCTGCCCACCTTCTAGCAAAATTCCTCTCATTCCCCATTTGTTAAGCACAAATCCCCCCTCCCTTTCCTTTCTGCAGGTGCTCCTCAACTATTCCTCCAGCATAAATCCTCTTATCCTTTCTCCCAGCACTTACCTCAGCATCTTAATATCTCCATCCACCAGGCTTCACCCCTTCTGTTGTTTAGAATCCTTGGGGAAGCTTTCTTAGGTGCTCCAAGTGTATTACATGCAGCCTGCGGTTATTGACGCTGGCTCCCGCTGTGCTGGTGACACAGGGGTACCTGACAGGGGATGTGAACAAGTGTCATTTAGCTACCAGTACAAAACACAATCATTCAGAACCCCCTTACTGGGCAAGAGCCGTGGAAGGCAGGAAACGAGCCGTAGTCAGGCAGGTGGAGTTGAGAGGTTGTGAAGCGGCTTGCATGGACATGATTGCTTCTTAATAAGGGCGCTTGCAAAGAATGTAATATGTTGCTGGGATGTGGACAGTCCTAGCAACAAGTGACAGAAAATAAGATTGAAGGGGGGGGGCGGAGGGAGAGAGGCAAACAGCGCAGACATGCAGGATCAGAATACCCCCACTGAGTGGAACGGAATCCAAGACCTTGAGAGGAACAAAAGTATTTTAAAATCCAAATCACCAGCAAGTGACCAAGGATTTGGTTCACTCAGTATCTGGTGCACCTGTTCATGGTAGCCAGTCAGCTTCTAACCTCAGCTTGTTCAATTAAGCTTTAGCAATAAAACCTGTAAGGCTACGTTCACACTAGCGTTGTGTGCAGGCAGCAGAGAGGCGTTTGGGAAGCGTTTTTACCGCTTCCCAAACGCCTCTGCACATTACAGCACATGGTGCTGTTCTAACGGGAGCGTTTGCGTCGCGGCAAAATTGACGTCTCTGGTCGAGTCAGGAGGCGTTGAAGCCTCCTATCCTCGTCTATGGTGCTGCTCCGCAAACGCCCGGCCGGCATTTGCAGTGTGGTTGCGGGGCGTTTGCGGAGCGGTAACACCACTCAAACTGCATTATAGGCGTTTGTGGGGTGTTATTAACGCTCGGCAAATGCCTAGCAACTGCCGCTAAACCGCGCATGCGGCGTTTGCCGAGCTTTAATAAACGCTCCGCAAACGCCGGACCAACGCTTGCCAAATGCTATAGGGGCGTTTGGCAAGCGTTGGTAAAACAGCCAAGTGTGAACGAGCCCTAAGATGGTTCGTTTCAATGCAGAAGTGCAAGAGATCCTGAGTGAACCAGCTTTAGTAAATGAACCCCAGTGTCTCTTGTGCAATAAAAATAAACATACCAGCCTGCTCGCAGTCCTCTGTAGAATGCACCCTGCGCTGTGCATGCTCAGCCCATTTTTACATCCTGGCAGTGCCTGTGTGTTGGGATGGTTCCTGTGCATGCATGGAAGTGATGTCATCCCGGGCAGGACAATCAAGATGGGCAAAAAACCGGCACCAGGAAGAAGTTGCAGCTGAGGGACCTCATAGACGTCGGAGTGTTGAAGCAGAAGGTAAGTATCACTGAGTTTAGTTCCACTTTAACCGAAGAATCTGATTGATTACAGTGTACAGCTGCTTCAGATTCTGTCTGCTCCAGTTTTAGTAAATCCCCCTAGCATGCCTTTTAGAGAAGAGTGATAATATATCTCCAAGTTCATTGTATTTCTTTTTACGAGAATTGCCAGCAATAAAGGAGGCGACTCGTTTCCACATGAAACGAGCCACTTGGGGGCCCTTCCAACTGGACCTCCACACAGTGAACACCGCTTCCATCAATCACATGATGGAAAAAAACACTTCATTCAATTACCTGTCTATTCTGTATTCTTGGGGAAACAGAATATTTCTTCACTGCAAACACACGGTATTACTGCGTGGATTGGAAGCAGATGTCATGCTATGCTGTGCCATGCTGTGTGTATTTGTCAGTAAGTGCTTGTTATCTACCATTATCCAGTGATTGCTTTTCCATGATTACTGTTTTATAATACCATCAAGTGTCATATGGTGACTATTCTGTGTTATCACCACTGAATTTTATTGTCTTTGGCTATTACTCCACATCATATGACCTGGGAATTTAACAGGAAGTCCGCTAGAGCTGAGAAATAAAAGTGAAAGTGGCAGACTAGAGAGACTGGCTGACAAGCTGCAGCAGCCGGGAGGATTGGGATGGGAGCACAGCCCCCTGGCAGCTGACTTGCCTTCTCATTGCATCATTAGCATCCTAAAGAACAGGAATAGCTGCTGCCCTTATTGCTTGTCCTTCAGATGATTCATGAATTTGTATTATAAGGCCTTCTACCGTGTTAGTGAAAGGACCTCTGAACAGGGAAAAGCTTCTAGTGTTCATAAAAAATAACTGGAGATACTGACTTTTTATCTAAAGAACGATTTCATGTGACCATCTTATTACTTCTTTTTCCTTCTCTAACCACACTTTGTGCAGCTTGGTAACCTGAAGAAACTGTGTGCAGTGAATGAGCGGCCGAGGGCAGACGGGTGATATGGTTCAAACAAAGGATGGCCCTGAAGACGGGTCTCTGGGAAAAACGGACACTCTCCCGCCTGAAATATCCAGTCCTGAGGCCTTTCAGCGCTTGTGGATTGAAAACCAGGACTTGAGAAGTGAGTGGTTAAGAACATTAAATCATTTAATTTACTACTTCTATATTTTAATGAGAAATCTCATGTATATAACTTAAATCCTGCTTCAATTTAAAGGATAGATTCACCTTATGAACATGTTGCACCAATTTTTAGGGTGAAACATGTTCAAAGAGAACCTCGCCTTCCCTGTGACAGCAGGCAAGGGTTCGTCTCCCTGCACCTGCTGTTACATTTTAAAGTCTGCCTGAGAATCTGTGCATAAAGAAACTACAAGTTCCATCTGCAACCACACAGCTTGTACTTTTCAATGGACTGCGTGGGTGCTGATCTCGTGGTCCACTATTTTTAGCTTTCTAACTGAAAGCCCTTAGAGAGCTATGGGCAAGAAAACTGGAGTAAGTATCTGCAGGAGCCTGACATAGCACCTGTGATCCACTGATCGTGGGAGCCATGCTTTGCAGGCTTCTGTAAGAAAAAAAAAAAAAAAAAAAAGATTTTTATAAAAAAAAAATAAATGCACATTTTATCTCCTGCAAAAATATGTGCATTCATTATTACCGAAATAAAACTTGACCCTTCAGCACAAACTTTTTAAAAAAGCCACATCACATAGTGTTTGTGACTTAATAAACACATAGGCTCCCTTTTATCAGGTCACAGTCGCCTAATGAAGGGTACATGTTTTGTATGTGTACGTTCAGGTTTGCTTAAAATTTTCCTCCCAAATTTTGCTCTCCACGGCATGTCCTAGCATTTATATTTTTTCCTTAACTGCTTTTTTTTTTTTTTTTTTTTGTGTGAGAAATGGCTTTTGTTACTCCCTATGACATCACCAAGTTTGTAAAATATTGACAAGGCCATCTGCTGATTCCTCAGAACTACATCTCCCAGGAGACTTTTTCCTACACAAAGTCTGTGGGCAACTCTCCGGAGTCAAGGCAGAAGAATTTATTTTCTGGAATAAAAACTGAAGAATGATGGCAGAAAAAGACCTAGTGGTCTGTCGAGTCTGCTTCCTTTTTTTTTCTCTAAGTATACACTATGTGCACAATTATTAGGCAAGTGAATATTTTGACAAAATCATTATTTTTATGCATATTGTCCAACTCCAAGCTGTATAAATGTGAATGTTTGTTTATTTGATTTAAGCATATCAGGTGATGTGTATTTGTGTAATGAAGGAGGGTGTGGCCGAAGGAGATCAACACCCTATATCAATGTGTGCATAATTATTAGGCAGCTTCTTTTCCTCAGGCAAAATGGGCCAAAAAAGCGATTTAACTGACTCTGGAAAATCAAAAATTGTAAAAAGTATTTCAGAGGGATGCAGCACTCTAGAAATTGCTAAGATATCAGTCAACAGGATCACAAGAAACGTGTTGAGAAAAAAAGATGCAAATTAACTGCCGAAGATTTGATAAGAATCTTAACTTGAAGCTACCAGGAACCCATTATCCTTCAGTGCGGTCATATTCCAGAACTGCAACCTATCTAGAGTGCCCAAAAGTACAAGGTATTCAGTGCTCAGAGACATGGCCAAGGTAAGGAAGGCTGAAACACGACCACCACTGAACAAGACACATAAGTTGAAACGTCAAGACTGGGCCAGGAAATCTCTGAAGACAGATTTTTTTTTTTTTAAGATTTTATGGACTGAGATGGGAGTGACTCTTGATGGACGAGCCCATGGCTGGATTAGTAATGGGCACAGAGTTCCACTTTGACTCAGATGCCAGCAAGGTGGAGGTGGGGTACTGGTATGGGCTGGTATTATTAAAAATGAACTAGTTGGACCTTTTCTGGTTGAAGATGGACTCAGAATCAACTCCCAAACCTAATTCCAGTTTTTTTAGAAGACACTTTCTTCAAGCAGTGGTACAGGAAAAAGTCTGCATCTTTCAAGAAGACCATGATATTTACGCAGGACAATGCTCCATTACATGCATCAAAGTACTCCACTGCGTGGCTATCTAGTAAAGGCATTAAAGATTAAAGCATAATAACATGGTCCTGTTCCTGACCTGTAAGTTTGTGGGCCCTTCTTAAATGGGAGATTTATGGTGAAGGAAAATGGCACACCTTTCTGAACAGTATCTAGGAGGCTGTGGTTGCTGCTGCACAAAAAAGATGACCACAAACACATCAAGAAACTGACAGACTCCATGAATGGAAAGCTTATGACTGTTATTGAAAAGAAGGGTGGCTATATTGGTCACTGTTTTGTGTTTTTTTTTTTTTTGTTTTGTTTTGTTTTGAAATGTCATAAATGTTTATTTGTAAATTTTGAGTTGTTTCTTTTATTATTCTCACTTTAACAGATGAAAATAAACACGTGAGATGGGAAATGTTTTGTTTTTCATTTAGTTGCATACTAATAGTTGCCCAATAATTGTGCACACATAGATATTCTCCTAAGAAAGCCAAAACCTCACTTTTACTTTCTTAAATATTCAGGTTTGAGGTTTATTAATATTTTGGATTGACTGAGAGCACTGTAGTTCAATAATGAAATTAATCCTCATAAATAGAACTTGCCTAATAATTGTACGCACCGTGTAGTTCTGTGTTTTGTCCCAATCATGTTTAAATTAGTTTACTTGCTGTCTGACTTGCTACCCTTGCCGGACATCTGTTCCAAGCATTAGCTACTCTCTTAGTAAAAAAATATGTATGTGGAGAGGGACAAAGAGGATGGGAATTGGCAGAGTTCTGTAGTCCAGCAGGCAGGGTTGGTAATGATTGTTGAGATTAAAAACCTTTTCTGTATGTATGTATGTATATATATATGTATGTAGTATTGTATTTTGGGCACTTACAAAAAATGGTGTAAAGATGCTTTTTAAAAGAGAAAAATATTAACCGAATATATCAATTAACAACCTACATAGAAGAACAGGAAATATTGGAAATGTTATGGTACTCTGAGACAGAGCCCTAATCTCCACATTATGGAGTCTGTCTGGGATTACATGACGACACAGAAGCAACCGAGGTAGACTACATCCACAGAAGATCTGTAGTTAGCTCTGCAAGATGTTTTAAACCACCTACCTGCTGATTTTACTGTGTGCAATATTGATATTTTTTGGTTCTTTCACTTTGTAGGTTGATAATGAAACACATTTTAATCCATTATTTTTGAAAGCATCCTTAGTTTACAGCATTTTTTGTAATTGCTTAAAACTACACTTCAAGTCTAGCACAATGTTTCTCAACCTTTTTTTTTTTTTTTTTTTTTTTTTTTTTTTTTTCAAGGCACCTTTAAAATTATGGACAGTCCCGAGGCACCCCATTCTAAAATGGGAAAAGAGATTCTAATAGTTTTATATAATGCAGCAACATCCACACATGTAGGACACCCAACATTAGAGGTGATTTACTCTTCCAAATGAAATACACTTTTGCACACTGGTCTTGACTAGTGTTTCTCTTCTAACTTTTAGCTATCCGTGATCTAATGTGACCCCAGCAGTGACAGAGAGGGGCAGGGGAGGGTCAAACTAGGATGCTGTGCAGGCAGCTGACATCCTCCTTATCAACTAATGATGTCATTGGTTGCCAGGATGCCAGCGGCTAGAAGGTCATAATGGTGCACAATGAAACCTGTGGCTTTGTGTAAGTAAAAGGCAGGCTTGTTTTCATCTGCTAGCTTGTATACAAGCTTTGGGCAGTTTTTAGACATTTTGCCAAGGTACCCCTGAAGAAGCCTCTAGGCACCCTGGTTGAGAAAGGCAGGTCTAGCAGACAGGATCTCTCTGATTTTTAAAGCAATAGCTGACATGAAAACAATCCCAATGTTTCGGGTAGTCAGAGACAATATGATCTTTGCCTAGGTGTTAGGTCACATAGGGGAGCTGAGGAGCTTTTTAATTTTAGCATCTTTTAGATTTTTTATTTTTTTAAAAGCTTGATCTGGGTCCTGTATAGGCTGTTATTTCACAGATTTACCTTGCACAATTTTTAATGGAAGTGTGGCATTGTGCACCAGCCACAACATAAAAATGAGCAGGTGGGGCTTTATGGGAAGGGGCGGGGCTCAGCAGGACACCAGCACATTTAAAGTAGAACTATAGGCTAAACTCCTCCCCATTTTTTTTTTTATAGTAAGGAGGGGGGGGGGGGGTTAACCTTTGTCAGATTTCTTTTTGACATCTGTGTCCCATTGGGGAGATTTACCGTTACCACCTAAACTAAGAAGAGAATTTTGCCTTTAGTTATACTACTATAATGTCAGAGGACATTTCATGTTTACTTGAAAGTCTGACTTTACTCTTGCAGCACTTCTTATTGTACCTGCTTACCTTAACAGATTTAATAGATGTGACAGAACTGGGAATAGTCTAACAGCTCATCTAAGTGATTTTACAGTTTAGAGAAACCTAATGTTTAAAAACAAATCATAATGAGACATTTTATATAATGTGTAATGGGTTACACATGAATACGTCTAAACCAAATGAGACTGTCACTAGTTCATTTTTCTTTTTAACTATAATGTTGGAATTAATCAGTGAATGCAGTTATGTATGTAAACGAAAAATTAATTCTGCACTAGGAGCCAATTGTGTCACCTGCCTACACATGACCTGATTGGGAACATGTTGACCTAAGTAGGGAGCAGAGAGAAGACTTATCAGTTTGTTACTCCTTCTTCAATTTCCAGTCGCATGCTGGAAAAGAAAGGTGACCTTGTTTTGTGCAGTAGGAACAAGTTGGGTCACCAGGCCAGCTGTGCTGTCTTTCTCTTTTCAATAATTTTTATTTTAGTTTTCCAAACATAACAAGCTCCAAGCTTGCTCATGCAGGGGGAAAAGAATTACACAGAATATGAAATATACATTGTAATCAAATGAACCATAAACACTGTAAGATTCAGTTGGCTGTACGCTGAGACTGATTCAAATACCAAAAATGCAAAATTCAGCAAGTTCCATAAAAGCAGGTTTCCCAGTAATGGTTGCAACCAGAGAGAGTATGAACCTAAGAAAATTATACCTAGAAAGAGGGGAGGGGAAAGGGGTACCATATAATCAGGACTGTCTCAGGCATCAACTGTAAGCCTAGGTTCACATCTGTGCGGGTGGTGCCACTGCGGGACCTGTACAAATACCTGCAGCTGCAACCACCCACACAAAGAAATGAGAGACCCGCGGGTGGGTACCATTAATCCTAATGGCACGTTGCCTCCACTGGAAACCGCAACTGTACTTGTAACCTCTGTTCCCATGCAGGCTGCGATTTCAAAAATCGTGCAGGGAGCTTCCTGCATGTTCCAGGGCACGACAGCCCTTTCAAATGAATGGGCTCTCATATCTGCACAAATCGTGGCCTGCACAAACGCACAGGTGTGAACTTAGTCTAAATGGCCAAAACTGGCCGGGTGCAAAGAATGGTAAGAATAATTGATCCAAGGTTCCCAATATTGAGAAACGTATAGTTGGAGTCCTTTTAAAATGCTGGACATCTTTTCATTGGTCGTTTAATGTGATCATACGGTCTTTCACGCCTTGAAAGAAGACAGTTTGGGGTTTATTTACTAAAGCTGGATAGTCCAAAATCAGACTCCCTTCTGCATAGAAACCAATCAGCTTCTAACCTCAGCTTGTTCAATGAAGCTTTGGCAATGAAACCTGGAAGCTGATTGGTTTCTATGCAGAAGGGAGTCTGATTTTGGACTCTCCAGCTTTAGTAAATAAACTCCTTTGTGTCTTCCACGCCTGAGCAATGGTCCACTTGGCAGACAAAAATAAATAGGAAGCTAATTTCTTGGTAGGTAAGGAGGCCTGGAATGGGACAATGGAATTAGAGTCAACTTTGCTTCACCTGACGATTCAGAAGGAAACCAGAGTATGTAACAGACCAAAGACTCTGGACCAGAAACTGTGGACACAACTACCAAATATGAAACCCCTTCTCTTGAAGGCCACAATTCCTGAAGCACCAATCACTGTATCTGGGATTTGCATGGGCTATCCGGGCAAGAACCCAGTACCACCGCATGAGCACTTTATATGCAGCCTCAAGGGTGGCAGTATTAAAGGAACATTTTGCTATGGTCAACCAGGCCCTACTCCATTCCGCTGGGTCTATCGAGATCGTCAAGTCTCACTTCCACTGTGAAAAGTTGGTGCTAGGGTTATTTAAAGAGGCATAGGCTGTGCTGTCTTTCAAGGCTGCCTAATCTCAGGACAGGGCGAATATAAATAGAAATTATATGGCAGGTTGAACAGGTTGCAGTTGTTGTGGAAGTGGAGGGGTCTTTACCATCACTCCATGGTCTTTCTTGTCACTACTCCACATTCCCCATGTCACTGCTCCAGATTTCTCCCTTAAAGCGGAGCTTCACCCAAAAGTGGAAGTTCCATTTTGTCTGTCCCCCGCTCCCCATTAAGGATCGGCACCTTTGGGGAGCGGGTACCCGAATTTGACAGGTATCCGCTCCCACTTCCGCTGTGACTGCCTAAGGTGATTGAAAGCGGAAGTTGTCCTCCTCTTCTCCCCGTAGTCTTCTGGGACACGTGACAGTGACCAGAAGACTACGTGGCCATTCATAAAGCGCAGCACTTCTCACGCTTACTCAGTAGGCACCCGGCTGTAAAGCCAAAATTGTCACAGCCAGGTGCCAACACTGAAGATGCCGGTGCCAGGGAGAGAAGACTGCTGGTGAAACCAGCGGTGGTGAGGGCACCGCTGGACCAAAGGACAGGTAAGTGACTGCATTTTAAAAGTCAGCAGCTACAGTTTTTGTAGCTGATGACTTTTATTTTTTTTTTCAGGTGCAACTACGCTTTAATGCTGTTTTTTACACTCCCTTGACCGCCATCACCTCAGTTCCTTCCTGGCTATGTCATTTCATCACTTACTGTGCATCCCTCTCCATCCTCCAACTTACAGCTGCACAGACCTGCCCAATGATAGTCCAGTCATAGAAGTCCATAACGGAAATATAATAAACCGTTATTGAACAGACTTTGGGGGCATCAGAAACCCTTATATAGTAAGTTCCACCATCCCTGTCACAGGATACAATAGCAAATAACTAATATAGACCTTTAAAGGAGAAGTACGGCCACTACTTTTTTTGTGGTTCACAGGAGTGCACTTCTTTCTGCTCTCCTGTGACCTGCATTCAGCTTACAGCGGGCTAAAATCCATTGTCTGCTGACATCACAGAGCCAGTCCAGGCTCAGGAAAGATCCCGACTTTAATGTAGGTGCAGGTACAGATGGCTTACACCTGTAAAACTTTAAGGAATTTGGCTCCTTTATAGCCAAGCCACAGTGTCTACTTTTCAAAGACCTTACTGACTGAAATGGTACCGACTGATTGGCGTAGAGCAAATATGGTGGCAATTTAAATAAATAAAAAAAAAAGGGATCAAGATGTTTATCAGAAAACTACCTAGTCATCCAACATCCTCAAACCCAAAACACTGTCACTCCCAGCGCTCAGAGTTCCACCACTGTTATAGTGGAAAAAATGATGCACAATGGACTCCACCAAAGATGCATAGCTGATGCAGCTCTCCTCAGATGGGGGAATCCTGTAGCAACTACAAAAAGAACAAACAGGAGAGTGCAGTTTCTGTCGACTTCTATGGGAACAATTCTGATTCACAACAGTTGGGCTAAAACCTTGACCTGATCCTGATCTAAACCACTGAACAACTACTTTTGTCAATTAGCAAAAACAGAGCTCCAATTTGCACCACACATGTATGAATTCACACTAAAGGTGTAGAAGTGCAGTAAATTCCACTAGACCCATACAGCTTCAGCCAACCTCACATTGATTTTTACAGGTTTGCAGAGGCTGTAGGAGCCTGACTAATCATACAGTGGTAGGGGGGATGGGATTTACACAGCCACTGTCACTTTGGACTGGATGGATAAAGTGACAGTCTCATTGAGGAGGGAAGCCAAGTAATTACAGATTGACTGTTTACACCCCCTAGTGGTTATTCAACAAACATTCTGGAAGAACAAGCGTATGAAAAACATGTAAGTTGTGTTAAAAAAAAAATGGCTTTACAGTAAACATGATAAAAAATGCATTGAAAATACACTCTAAGCTTCCCGTTAAATTTTCTAATGGGTTTCTTCTTTTCTCTCCCAGTGGCCTTAGAACAGAGTAATGCAATGTTGCGGAAAAGTCACAGCGAGATGGTTGAGTTTCAGACTACGCAGAAGAGAGAGAGGGCATTCATTGCATACAAGTTCAACGAGGCCAAAAACCTTGTACAAAGGCTGAGCGCTGAACGGGATTCTCTGCAAGCCCAACTTGAAGCAGCTAAAAAGCAGCTAGCCGAGGTGACCTCTAGAGATGAACAAATTGCAACAACTGACAGAACTGCTATTGAAGAATCGGTTTGTCCAGAGATTGCTCAGAAGAAAGTCTTTGAAGAGGTACTAAGGCCCTGTTTGCACCTCTTAGATTTAATGCCGAAAAGGATTGCTATTCTTTGCTATAGAGCCCATTCACACCTCTGCACTGCTATATTTAGAAAATAGTACAGGTGTGTTTCTTAGCACAATAAACTTCAATGGCAGAGCATGAAAAATGCATAAAACATGCATTTTAGCACATTCCCTAGCAACCTTCTACTTTTTTTTTTAAGCCACACGAAAAATAAAAAATCAGTACACGTGAAAACCTTACTAAATTGCAGGTCAGTGCTTGTTAAAACATGCTTAAAAAATGCTGGAAATTGCAAGCGCAAAGGTGTGAACTAGCCTAAAACCCTCCTGTATCTTATTGTGTAAATGCAGCTGATGTCTACATGAGCATGGAGGCAAGGTGCCCTTTCACTACACTAGGGTGACATACATTCACTTCTGAAATGCTTCCTTAACAACACTTCTCTGCAGGAAAATGCACCTAAGCTTTATGAAAGTGACATCAGGGAAAACTACATTTCTAGAAAACATGGAGATTTTAGGTAATGACCTTCATGGCATTTAGACATCAACGGCAAAGTTTCAAAAAACAAATGCAAGTGGTTTGCCTCCAACTAAATGTTCATCTTTTTATTATTTTTAATTTTGCAGCTTACACATGAATAATGTCAACTAGGATCTGATTGGTTGCTATATAGGGATGTTTAACAGAGGATCATTAATGTTAGGACAAGAATTTAAATGTTCATTCTTAAATTATTATAATTGCACACATTTATGAAAGATTTATATTTGATCCATTTACTTGGTTTTACTTACTTTGACAGTTGAGGTCTAACTGTTGTTGCCCTGCCAGTTGTCTAACCTCAAGCTTCTGAGTGTGCATAATAGTATCAAAAGAGATCAGTGGCTGTTTATGTTGCTGTCATCTCCAGAGCTTAGATATTTGGTAACTAGTGTGCATGTAGGTGCTGGGACATAAAATGTTTTATATGCTTTTGGTCACACAGCTCACAGGGTATTTTCTTGTCAAAGTGGGTGGGGCTCTTGAATCTGACATTTATCTCTAGATTAATCTTCAGACAAAGTGGTTAGGTGTAAATAAGAGTCAAATATACATCTTTCATAGAAGGCCTGCACAATTTTAAGGGCTAAGATCACCTTTCTAGAAAAAAAAAAATGTGCATTTATTATTATTATTATTATTATTATTATTAATAATAATACAAATGTTATTATAATATTATTTTTTTCTGCCTGTAAAGCATTGTACCCACGATCAGCAGATCATGGGTGCAATACAGGGCTCCTGCGGACTGTCAGTGTATCTGTCTGCTCGTGCCTCATATGAGCAGGCAGTTACACAATGACAGGAAGACTCGAACTACCTAAAGTGCTCTCTAGCAATCTAGTAGTTCATTGAGAACTACAAGCCATCAGCCGCAAAGGCTGTCAGCACTTGAAGTTCATTAATTAATTCACAGAACTCTGTGAATGAATGACACTGCCATATGGCCAGAGCATTCTTTTCAAATTCTGACAGTGGGTGCGGTGAGAAGATCCCTGGCCTGCTGTCAAAATTTAAAATGGGGATTGGAAAGAGGCTGCAGGAGCGGGAACATGTTACATGTCCCACCCTAAAAACGGGTGGAAAATGTAACATGTTTCTAAAGGTGAACTTAGCTTTTAACCATGAAGAGCCAATCTATAAATTCTAACATAACCCCAGTTGTCACAGGTTCTCTTTTAAAATGTGCTTGATTTTTTTAAACTGCTTAAAGCTTCCTTTCATGCCTGCAGCAGCCTAGTTCAAAATGCTTATTTTCTCTTAATGCTTCTTTGCCACTTTACAGCTTCATATGTAGTTTTAGCTTTAGTGGACAAGTAAATGTTGAAAATGTCTTTGTCGCCCACATTCCCAATGGAAGCATATACCAATTTAAACTAAGAAAAAAAAAGTTAAAGTGGAACTCCCTTCAAAAACTTTTCTGAATAAAGTGGACATGCGTTTTTTTTTTTTTTTTTTTTTTCCTCCAACCCCCCAAAAAAAAGGGGGGCTACTATTGTCTTATTTCTAAAAATTCTAGTTGCTTAATGGTTTGGTGACCCACTGGCTGTTAACACGGAGTCACTTGCCCCAAAACAAGTATGTAAATCAAAGAGTGGTGCTAGAATTTCTTTATCCCTTTTCTGGGTCAGTGACACAAAGGGGTTGATTTACTAAACCAGGAGAGTGCAAAATCTGGTGCGGCTCTACATAGTAGCCAATCATCTAACTTCAGCTTGTTCAGTTAAGCTTTGACAAAAAAAACTGGAAGCTGATTGGTTTCTACGCAGAAATGCAAGAGATTTTAGTAATTCAACCCAAAGTTTTGCAGCAAGAGGTCCAATATGACTGCAATTGGGAGAGGCCAGCAATGCAGCCTTCAATTTTCTTACAACAGGTTTCCGATATGGAAAACTTTTGGATGGAGTTCTAGCTTCATTGTAAAAAACTGGCTGCTACAAGCAAGCAATTTTCATTTTGGGCATTTCCACATTGGGCCTTTTAGATTTAATAGATTCATTTAGTACGGGCCTGTCTATGGTCACCAAGCATAGCTGGGCTTGTTGGCGAATGTCAGTGGTGTTGCAATATATATATATATATATATAGCTGCTGTTGATTTCCAAAATTGTGCTGCAGATTTAAATGCTTAAATAAGTCCAACACAATCACATTTTCACTGCATTAGATCCTCCTGCATTCTTTCCTCTGCCTGACCTCTTGGCTTGGCCCCTGCTTGACTGCTGTGCTGTATATCATTAGGCTAACAACAGCCCTGGGAGCTCTCTATCCTCCTGTGAAACGCTAACCCCCAGTATGTGTGAATCCATGAGAGAGTCAGCACGACATCACCAGGGGCCACCCCGAGCTGAGCAGGTGAGAGCTCCCATCTTTTATTAAGTGAAGCCTCTTATAAGTACTACAGATTGCAAGAGAGAGATGAGAGATCATATTGTTTTCATTAGCCCAATGCCAAATGAACACTTCTCTAAACACCTGTCTGTTATCAATATTTTGCACCAGGGAGTGCTTGGCGCTTGTCAGAAATGCGTATCGGTGGTTCCCTTTTTAGAGCTCAGGTGTTTGAAGCCTGATGTTGGAGCACAGCCTGGTTTGTTGCTCTGGAAGAAGGTCTTTTTTTATTATCTCCTCAGCTTAAATGCCGGAATTTTTATAAGCACCTTTTCTGGTCTGCGTGGCATGATCAGAGTATATCGGTTTGTTACTTTAGTAGTGCTTTTGGTTTTTTTAGCCGATTTGGCATCTTTTCCTAAATATTCACATTTTACAACAAACCTTTCTTGAAACCCACAGCGGTTGTCATTGCCAATCTCTATCTGGAGATGGTGAATCCTAACACTGACGTACAAAGCTGTCCACCATACTGCCCCGAACTACATCACTGACCTAATATCCAAGTACCCGCCCAGCACGCACACTCCGCTCCTCACAAGACCTCCTTCTCTCTAGTTCCCTGGTCTCCTCCTCCCATGCCCGCCTCCAGGACTTCTCCAGGGTGTCACCCATCCTCTGGAACTCCCTGCCCCAACCCATCAGATTATCACCTACTCTCCTCTCCTTTAGGCAAAGTATCAGGGAAGCCTACCCCACCCCCTGCTAACTTGCTGACCTCCTCCACTCTTCCTACACTCCATCCCCCACAGCTATCTCCTCCTGTAACTATCCCATCCCTTCTAGATTGTAAGCTCGAAAGAGCAGGGCCCTCGATCCCCTCATGTTTTGCATTGTAATTGTTCTGTCACATGTTCTGTCCCCCTTTGTAATGTACAGCGCTGAGTGAACTATTGGCGCTTTATAAATACTGTATAATAATAATAATAATTTTTGTAAAGTCAAAATCAGACTTCCTTATTTGCATGCTTGTTCCAGGTAATGGACAAAGTATTGAAGCAAGAGTATACACTAGACAGGAAACTGGCATTTGAAAAATGTTGGGTAGCATTGTGGCAGTCTCCATTTTTTTACCTCCTCAGTGCAGGAAACCATGCTGGTCAGCACTCTGCCTATTGTATGTACATGATATACATTGGGGTTGATTTACTAAAGGCAGTCTGTGCACTGCAAGTGCAGTTGCTCTAGCTCCGAGGGGCAGCTGTGCTGATTTGTATCATTCAATCATGTGCAAACAAAAATGCTGTTTTTTTGGGGGTTTTTTTGTTTTGTTTTTTTTTATTTTCCTTGCATGTGATTGGGTTTTCTTTGGAAAGTGAAGCTTTACCTCTTTTACTAAGCTCTGAAACAAGTGCACTTGCAGTGCACAGTATATTTGCCTTTAGTAAATCAACCACTTTGTGTATTCTCTTCAACCTCTGCACCAATTCACAACTCTAGCACACCTCTCATAGTCCCACAATGGAATGCACACTCCACACGGTTAGTCACTGTGGCACGTGTGGTGCTATATGGGATGCCAGTCCTCTAACTAATTTGGTGGAGTAGTAAAGTGGTATGTAGGGCACGCCAAGAGATCATTAAGGGGTTAGCATAGGCTTCTCTCGTTGGAATATACAAAGCTTCTTGTGAATTGCTTTTAGAAGTGTAGGTACTGGTTCAGACCTCTGACTGAAGCTCGATCAGGATTAATTTATGGAGTACTCCTTGGTTGGGGTGGTGAAGGGTCTTCAGAAACACAGAGGACAAAGATAGGCAAAAGTGCCTTTCCTGCAATTTATTTGAAGAGCACATTTGTTTTTGATTCCTAGATTCAAGCAAAGGGTCCTTATAGAGCCAAAGAAAGGAGGGGGGGGGGGGGAGTAAACAATATGTTAAACGAGAGCCATGGCAAATGGCCACTAATCAAATTTCATCTTTCCCTCCAATGAGACAATGGAAAAAAGGCATCTAGTTGCAATGGGATGCCGTCCTTAGGTGATGGACCTTTGACCTTGAGTGATGGGTGTCTTCTCTCTACTGAGAGCAGCTTATCTCTTTTAGTTTTTTTTTTTTCTCAGGAATATTGATAGAAGATTCCTATATGAGTATGTAACTCCATCTCTGTAGCTTTTCAGATCAGCTAGGCCTTGGAGGACTAGATCCTGCCTGGTAGAAGATGGGGGTGGGCTGTAACATTGCTTTGGACACCGGATCCTGCATAGGTGCTGACTTTGGCATGTAGTGCATCTCTTGGAGTTAGTTGCAGGGTGCTATACAGGTTCAGGGTTGTGATCCAGCTGAAGTGGAGCCCTGTCCCTTAGAGATCCAAAATGGGTATTCCCTCAAAGGGATCTTGTCTGATGGGACCTAGTACTGTTTGCTCTGATCACTGCCTCTAGTTAAATACCGACTTGTTTTGAGCAGTTTATTTAATGTATTGCCAACCCCTTAATTGCATGGCTTTTTGACTTTCCATGGTTTAGACCAGGGGTCTGCAACCTTTAAGACATAAAGAGCCAGTTGGACCCATTTTCCGAGAGGGAAAAAAAAAGACTGGGAGCCGCAAAACCATTGCAACATTTAAAACAAATCCGACACTGCATTATTATATTGCAAAAAACGCTCTGGTCATTTTAAGGGCCCAGTACAAAGGGTTAATCAGGGGCCACAGTGTAATAATCACAATCATAGCCTTAGGTCAGTGGTGGGCAACCTTTTTTTTCGACTTCTCTGAAATTTATTTTGAGAGAAACATTTTTTAAAAACTGAAAATACATCCCCCATATAGTAATTCCCCCCCCCATAGTGTAATTCATCAGTATAGTAATTCATCCCCCATAGTAATTCAATAGTAATTCATCCCCCCCTATAGTAATTCATCCCCCCTATAGTAATTCATTATAGTAATTCATCCCCCGTAGTAATTCATCCCCCCTATGTAATTCATCCCCCGTAGTAATTATAGTAATTCATCCCCCCTATAGTAATTCATCCCCCATAGTAATTCATTCCCCCCATATTGTGTGAATTCACTTACCTTTGCTCCGCGCGTTCCTCTCGCTGGGTTTCCCGCGCCGTTTCTGGTCTTCAGGGCGGACTGTGAGAGGAGAGGAGTTCGTCACGCTGCCCGCCCTACATCCTGACAGCCAATGTTTGCCAGCGGGCGCCCGGCACACAGAAGATTGCATTAAAAGAGCCGCGGCTTGTTTACCCTATTGCCTGTCACCTGGTGGGCAGTGTGCTCCGGAGCCGCAGGAAAGGTGAAAAAGAGCCGCATGCGGCTCCGGAGCCGCGGGTTGCCGACACCCGGTTTAGACTAAGATCCTGTGTACAAATCAACAAAATCAAAAATTTGACTTACTGGTATAACCCTTTTTCTTGGAGTACAGTACAGGACACCCTTCCTTTTTTTTCTTTATGATCTCCTTATTGCTTGCTACAAAACTGAGGCTTGCAGAAAGTGGGAGGGGTTAAAAGGTATAGGGGATGTCCTTGGAGCATTGTTAGTGTCCAGTCATTTGAAGCAGAACGCATATAATCCATGGCCAAGTCTAAGATCCTGTGTCATGTACAGTACTCCAAGGAAAGCGTTTACTGGCAAGTCCAGATCCTATTATTCCACCTTAACTTTTAGTGCAAGGATTGTTGAGATCTTGGGGCTCATTTACACTTTTCAACTTTAACACCTATTAAAGCACCTACCACTTCAACATGCTTTTTTGATGTGTTTTTGATGCTTCGGTGTTGCTTTTTTGAAGATTTAATGAAGCTTGGCAAATGCCCTGTGTGTGTTGATTTTCTATTTGTTATAAAGGGGCCAGTAGAACCCCGGCTCAGTAGCACACCCACTCTTCAGATCCCCAGCCCCTTAGTACCCCTCTTCAGCAGATCCCCAGCCCATTATTACCCCTGGTCAGCAGATCCACAGATCATTAATAATACCCTCGTTAGGCAGATCCCCAACTGATTAGTACCCTTGTTCAGCTGATCCCCTGCTCCCTAGTACCCCTGGTTCTTCTAATCCCCCACTCGGTGGTAACCCCCAGCTCTGTTGATCCTCTAGTTTTCTGATCCTCCTCTCTCTCTGGTGCCTGCTCACATCCCACTGTAGTGTTCCCATGTTGTACGCCACCAGTTGCTCTGCTCCTGTCCAGAGCCCGCTCACCTTCCTGCTGCTCCCATGCTGCACACCAGATGTGACAACAGCACCAGACACTTCCATAATATATACACATGAACTGGAAGTGACTTCCGATGATGTCTTTCTGGTTTTGCTTGTTGGTTTCCCAGTGTGTCCTGCAATAGCTCCAAAACAAAGCGAAGCTAAAGCTGAATAAAAGCCTCTCAAAAGCTGCAGGTGCTGTTATTGTGATCTGTCATAGAGTTCTGGAGACTCTTTGAAGTAGCAGTGCACCGAAATGAAAATTCTGGTACCGAAAATGAATATTCAAAATGCGCTTGGCCAATAACCGAAACCGAAATGCGCAGTTTTTAAAAATGAATATATATTTTTTGGAAAAAAATACACTTTAAAAAAAAAATATATACCCCAATTTGTTTGTAAAATATGAAAGAGGATGTTACGGCGAGTAAATAGATACCCAACATGTTACGCTTTAAACTTGTGCACGCTCATGGAATGGCATGAAACTGCGGCATTTAAAAATCTCCATGGGTGATGCTTTAAAAATTTCTACAGGTTAGCAGTGTAGCGTTACAGAGGAGGTCTTGTGCGAGAATTATTGCTCTTGCTCCGGCGTTCGTGACGATACCTCACGTGTGGTTTGAACACCATTTACATATGTGGGCATGGCCTACGTATGCGTTCACCACTATGTGCGAGCACGGAGGGACGGGGACACTTTAAACTTTTAAAAAAAAAATGTATTTAATGTTTTGTTTTTGTTTTTTGTTTTTTGCACTGTTCCTTTAAAAAAAAAAAAATTATAATCACTTTTATTCTTATCACAAGAAATGCATGCATCCCTTGTGATAGAAATAATTAGTAACAGGTCCTCTTTATGGAGAGATGTGGGGTCAATAAGACCCCACATCTCTCTCCTCTGCAGTGTAAAGCATTGGATCAAAAATAAACATTGATCTAGTGCTTTAAAAAAAAAAAAAAAAAAAATGTCCGGAACCGGAGGTGACATCGCTCCAGTCCTCCAAGGGCATAGAGATGTGTGGCGGCCATCTTTCCTTCACTCATCTCTATGCTCAGCACCGGGATCCATGGTTTCTCAGGTAATGCTGAACTACCGAGCACAAGCCAGTGGCGGCAAGTGGCCAGCGGGCAGTGGTGAGGGGCGTGGTTTTTTTCAGCACCTGTATCGGTGCTTTTTTTTTATTTTTTTTATTCACCCAACTGCCGAAAGGGGTGTTTTTGGCAGAAATGTTTTGACCACCAAAATTTTGGTGCATCTCTACTTTGAAGCACAAAGAAAGCGACATGGGGTATAATTTTTGAACCCTCATGGCCAAGTTCACTCCTCTTCACCCCTCCTCCCCTGCTTTACACAGGGAATGCACTTTTTTTGTTTTATTTATTTACAGAAAGAAAATCGGTCCCCCCACATGTATCATGAATCCATGCTCTCTGTTGCTTAAGATATATTTTTCCAACAAGAACTCATCTATGTGGTCTTTTATTAAACTCTCCAGTATCTTCCCAACTATAGACGTTAAACTAACAGGTCTAGAATTACTTGGTAAAGATTTTGACCCCTTTTTAAATATTGGCACCACATTGGCCTTACGCCTATCCAGTGGTACTATGCCAGTCATTAGAGTCCCTAAAAATGAGAAACAATGGCTTTGAAATGACTGAACTCAATTCTTTAAGTACCCGTGTGTGTATGCCATCCAGGTGCTTTATTCACCTTTATACTGTCTAAATATTTTTTGAATATTTTGAATACAGAACTATGTTATGAAGCGTGGGAGGTGTTTTGTAGTCCAGTCTGGAAGAACTGGACAGGGATGTCAATACAGTTTAGGATTTTAGTGCAGCAAATGTGCTGTGTTTTCAGCTCAAACACGAATATAGGAACACACTGGGTTTCTGGCACATCATCAGGTAGTATTCTGTGGGAATTTTTGAAGGCATAACACATGGGGTAATGTGTATATGTTGCAGAGATGTACTGCATGTGTTTTTTCATCTTTTGCATAAGCCCTTTTGTGATTGCTTCTCTTTAACAGATTTATCCTGTAAATAGTAGAACTGCTGCATATTTTATAGAAGCCAGAAAGGAAATGGTTTTGTATCCTAGTCCATGGAGTATAGAGATCCATACATTTCACTTTATTTTTATTGAAGATTCCCTTTTACTGCACATAGAAAGAAATGCAGAATTTACTTCCATATTTTAACTGTTTTATTTCTGTGCTGTGCATTCAATAATTTGCGTTTTATTATTATTTTGTGTGACCGTGTTTATTTTTGTCCTTTCTTGTCACAGGATGATATCTTAAAGGAAAGTGAAAAGAATCAACTTCTTGGGCTGCCACCTAAAGACTGGGTCAGGATTCGGGTGAGGGATTGGCATATCAGTGGGCTGTTCAGTATTTTCCATTTTTATATCTACTGACTGTGTTTTTTGCAGGAGGAATCTGCTGTCCGGAAGATGGTTACAGAAATAGAAGTCCTGCAAGGGACAAATGGAAGGTGAGTCCAGAGGGTGAGGGGAGAACAACTGTGTGTGCAGCGTCAGGGCACACACTTTCAGATGTGATTTTAACCGCTCCCAGACAGCCTTATAGCAGATATACTGCTGCAGGGCAGCTCGTGTGCACAAACAAATTATATGTGTGTGTGTGTATGTGTATATATATATGTATGTATGTGTGTGTGTATATATATGTATGTGTATATATATATATATATATATATATTTTTTTTTATATATATATATTATACAGGATTTATATAGCGCCAACAGTTTGCGCAGCGGTTTACAATATAAGGGAGACAGTACAATTACAATATATTTCAGTACAGAAGGAATAGGAGGGCCCTGCTCGTGGAGCTTACAATCTAAAGAAAGGGGGAGGTGATAAAAAAGGTGATAACTGCGGGGGGATGATCTGGCGGAGGTGATTCGAGTACAGTTCTTAGGTGGAGGTGGGGTAGGCTTCCCTGAAGAAGTGAGTTTTCAAAGAGCGCCTAAAGGCAGACAGGGTGGGGGCTGACCGGACATGCTGTGGTAGGGAGTGGGAGAGGCTCTGGAGAAGTCCTGGAGGTGAGCGTGGGAGGAGGTGATGAGGGAGCTAGAGACGAGGATATCATGGGAGGAGCGGAGTGGGCGATTTGGGCGGTATCTGTGGATGAGGTTGGTGATGTAGCTAGGGGCAGTGTTGTGGATGGCTTTGTAAGCTGTGGTTAGTATTTTGAATTTTATACGTTGGGTTAGTCCAAGCGAGTGGAGGGATTGGCAGAGAGGGGCAGCAGTCGCTGATCGGTTGGTAAGGTGTATGAGTCTAGCAGCAGCATTCATAATAGACTGAAGGGGGGATAGCCTGTGTAACGGTAGACCAGTGGGGAGGGGGTTGCAGTAATCAAGGCGGGATATAACCAAGGCGTGGATAAGTTGTTTTGTGGTGTCATTGGTCAGGAAGGGGCGGATTTTGGAAATGTTCCGGAGGTTGAGGCGGCAGGATTTAGCCAGTGAGTGGATGTGGGGCCAAAGGAGAGGTCAGAGTCTAGGATTACGCCTAGCACCCTGGCATGAGGGGAAGGACCAATGGATGTGCTGTTGATCTTAATGGTAAAGTCATGAGTGGGGGATCGGGGAGGAGGAAATATTACAAGCTCAGTTTTTGAAAGATTGAGTTTAAGGTAGTGATGTGACATCCATACTGATATGTCGATTAGTAGATTTGTGATACGTGAGGGGGTGAGCTGGGGAGTGAAGAGATAGATCTGGGTGTCATCAGCATAGAGGTGGTATTGGAAGCCATGGGAGGTTATCAGTTGGCCCAGGGAGGAGGTATAGGGAGAGAAAAGGAGGGGCCCAAGGACAGAACCTTGGGGTACCCCAACAGAAAGAGGGAGCAGAGGAGGAGTTGTATGTGACACTGAAAGTGCGCTGAGAAAGGTAAGAGGAGAACCAGGAGAGAACAGAATCACGGAAGCCGATGGAGTGGAGTTTACTGAGGAGGAGCGGGTGGTCGACTGTGTCATAGGCAGCAGAAAGGTCAAGGAGTATGAGTATGGAGTAAGGGCCGTTGGTTTTAGCAGTTAGTAGGTCATTAGTGAGCTTTAGTAGGGCAGTTTCTGTGGAATGTTGTGGTCGGAAGCCAGACTGTCGGGGATCAAGAAGGTTGTTGTTGGTGAGGTAGCAGTTCATACGGTTGTGAACAAGGCGCTCGAGAAGCTTGGAGGCAAACGGGAGCAGGGAGATGGGTCTTAAGTTATTCAAACAGGTGGGGTCCAGAGATATATATATATATATATATATATATATATATATATATATATATCCGTGTGTGTGTGTGTATAAAAACACACTGTGACACCACTGTGTAGGAGTGGAAGGGGGGCTGGGAAAGAGTCAGGAGCGTACTTTGGGAAAAACCAGAAAGTGCTTTCAGCTGAGAACATTACTGAAAAAGGAACTAAGTGGTTGTACCAGTGGTATCTACTGTAGCCCTCAGGGCGGAACATCATGCTGTTTTTCAGCAGGGGTATTAAGGTATCCAGATGTTGCAAATAATGCAGGGAAATGTAGATGATTATGCACAAACTAATCTGCAGAATAAGAAATGCTAAGGCCTTGTTCACATAAGCTCTAAATTCCGATGCCCAACCTGTGGCCCAGAGGCTCAAGCAGGCAGTAGTGAGAACACTGATTTGTGTAAAAAAAAAAAAAAAAAAAAAAAAAAAAAAAGCTTTAATGGCATTTATCTCCAGTAGTTTCTCCAACTTGTCCTAGTCTCTCCTTGTCTCTCTTGGCCTTGCCTTGTGGTTATCAGATTGGCGGCATCTTGACTCGGTCTGTAGACAGCAAGTCTTTTTGATTGTGTTGTGTAATTATGGTACTGGCTCAGAACATGCAGTATGTGACTCACAAACCTCTAAATGGGAGTTTAGACAGGTTTGAGCCTGTTTTTTTTTTTTTTTGTGTTTTTTTTGTTTTTGTTCTTTTGTTTTTGTTTTTTTTTTGCAGCTTAGGATCAGGATCCCTTGACAGGATGCCCCTACAGCACTGTTGCTCACATTTATGTCCAAGCCAAACCCTGACTTTAAGCCAGCAGCTTGCAGGTTTTTAACTAATTTTAAGAAGTGCTGAAGCTTATTATAGCATGTTAGCATCTTGTTTAAAGTGACAATCGTTCCTTCCCTAAAGGTCTGTGCCTGAAACTCCCCAAACTAGAGCTTTTAAAGACTTCAACAAAACTAACTAAAAGCTTTGCAAAAGCTTGCTGTTCACTTCTCTTATACTGTACAAACTGAAGTTAAAGTGTTACTATACCCAGGACTCTGCATTCACTATATCTGGTCTCCCACAGTACAAATAACATGGAAATGCAATTATTTTAGTAAATTTAAATAGCAGAATACCTTTTCTCATCAGCAGTTAGAGCAGTCCTCTGACTTATATCAGTGTACAGCTGAGCACTGGTTAAAGCTTGTGGGAGGAGTTTTCATTCTCCTCTCACTGTCCGGTGAGATTGCACAACCCCTCACCCTCTGTCTGGACAATGTTGTTTGGCCCTGTGCTGATCACATGCACTCTCCCAAGAGGGAAAAAAAAAAAACACTCGCTAGCAATACACACCAAACTGAGCATGTGCAGAGTGTCCCCGAGGCTCTGTTCCATCAGGAGATTAAATGGGGAACGGGGAAGCAGGGGAGGATCAGAGCAGACAGGATCAAACATCCTTTTTATACAATGCAGAGGATTAACCACTTAAGTTCCACAGCGAGTATACCAAATATGCTTTACTGTATGTACAGACTGATTTTACTGTCATGAGTTAGTAACACGTTAATAGGTGAGTGTAAAGAGTGGCTATTATGTTTTGGCATTACCAATATAGGTATAATCTTACCAGTGTGCCTGGAATTCAGCTCTTTCGGGCTACAAAAATGAGAGAGCCCATACAGCAGCCAATTATCCATATAAACATTCTAAAACAAGCTTCCATGATTTGTTTAGCAGTAGTGTGTTCACATTGCTCCCTCTGCAGAATAATGCAAATTTCTCTTTCCATCAAATCTTCTTTTCTATATAGATATCTATTTTTAGAACCACTAATTCGCTTAAAGTGGTTCTAAAGGCTGGGTGTCTTTTTTTTTTTTTTTTTTTTACATGAATGCATTCCCTGCATTAAGGTAAAAACCCCACTATGTCTCCCCCTTCCCTCTGTAAACACTTACCTGAGCATGTCAGAGATCCAGCACTGTGCCCATCTGCAGTTTGCTTTCTCCTCTTTTCCTCTTCTCACAGGGATTCCTTTCCTCTTCTCACAGTTGGCTCCTGCTACTGTCAATCAAATGGTGTGAGGAGGGAGCAGGGGTGGGACCAAGCTGCGCTGTCTGTGTCAGTGGACACAGGCAGCGCCGCTCAGGAACGAGCCCGCACGTATGCTCCATAGCGAGCGACTTGCATATCGGAGTCACAAAGAGAAGAAGAGTCGTCTGGAGTGCTGGCCGGGGATCCCAGAAGAGGATGTCAAGGGCTGCTCTATGTATATCATTGCAACTGTGTAAAAAAAAAAAAAATACTAGGCTTTACAAGTAGCCAAAATCCTGAGCAGCACCATACAAAGTTATTGCATTATATACAATTATGTCTTTGTTTAGTATTACTACCAAGGTATAGCTCTGCATCTGATCATACACAACACTAACAGCCTGTTTATTGTAGGTGTACAGCAAAGGAGCAGGATCTGCAAAAGAAGCTTCAGGAGGCAGAGAGCCGGTGAGCATCTCAAAACCGCTAGAGATCTAAACACAAACAGTGGAGAAAGGTGTTTTCTGCATTATAACCAAGCATCAGAGGATCTGATGGGTTGGTGGGGCTGTACCAACATGTTTGCATTGGTCAACCTTGTTTTATAAACTAATCCCTGAATTTTTTTTTTTTTTTTTTTGCTAAACAGGAATGCTCAGCTGCAAGAAAAAATTACTGAGCTGCAGCTGGAGGTATCAGGCCTGAAGGACCAGCTGAAAGAGAAAGGAGTCGAAGCTCAAAGACAGCTCCAGGTTAACAATCTATCTTACAATATTTTATACAATTGATCTGGACTGGTATATAAGGCCTCATGTAAATGGACCTCCTGCGTTTCATTTTTTACTGCATGCAAATGTCCCCAGAACACACAGAATTCTCATTTTTGTAAATACAGATAGACTGAATGCACCTAGACACAGCTGAGGGTCTAAGTGTGAATTCAGCCATAACAAAGCAATACATGCTTCCAGATGTGCTTTAGAAATTATCTCCAACTGCAAAATCTTAACAGAGGGCGTGACCCCACATAATGTCATACCAGATAGATGGTATTAGGAACCCATGTGCAGAGATCTCACGGCCAGAGTCCATGAACTCTAAGTGAAGTGATTCAGACTGCCAACATGTAGTCACACCTGAAAAATCCGTTTTGGGTGGTGTTAGTTTACTGCAAGACTGGGCAATGCACACTTCTACTTCGGCCTTGTAATGTTTTTATTGAGAAAAGTGAATTGCAGGTCTTGTGAGTCATAGTAGCCAAGAGCCACAAGTGCTCAGCCGGGGCATGCACAGTTGAAATTATCCATAGCAATGGCAGCACAGAGAGCTTTCAACTACACATATCCACAGAAAGTGTTGTGATCTGCTGACCCTTCCTATAACATGCAGCGTTGGAACTGTGAAATGTTGATACCACCAAACCTGCCAATCAGTACACTGAGCCCCACCCCTTGGATCTATCCTCCAGTCAGTACTTGATGGGGGTGTGATCTTTGGCCTAGGCACCTGCAGTAATGTACCTGCTGGGTACACACCTGCCCAATCCATGCACTTAACCCTATTTGCCCTAGGCATCGTGTCCAGTCAGTGCTTGTGGGAGGAGGCCTTCGGCCCAGCAACACCTTCAATGATGTATCTTCTGGGCTTCAAACTCAGGGGGACAGTAGGTGAGGGGATAAGGTGATGGCCTGCACCAGTGTCATTTACACAACTTACTTGCCTTCATCCATTCCACAGATATGCCTGGTCATGCCATTACCCACACTTTTTTTTTTTTTTTTTTAATTTATTTATTTATTTTTAGACTCTTTATTCTAGATATGAAATACCTTCTTCAGCTCTGTGTATACAAAGGAGCATGGGGGAGCTCTTGTCCATAATGGGCATGGTATTGACACAGCTCCAGATAATCCACATTGGCTCACAATTGATATGATCCAGAAATATTTAGACAGAATAAAGGTGAATAAAGCACCTGGACCGGATGGCATACACCCACGGGTCCTTAAAGAATTGAGCTCTGTCATTTCAAAGCCAAGGAACTGAATTTATTCTCTCTTGAGAGGAGGAGATTAAGGGGGGATATGATCAACATGTATAAATACATCAGTGGTTCATACAGTGAACTCGGTGTAGAGTTATGCACCCTGAAGTCATCACAGAGGACAAGAGGGCACTCTTTACGTCTGAAGGAAAAGAAATTTAATCTACAAACACGGCAAGGTTTCTTCACAGTGAGAGCTGTGAAAATGTGGAATAGACTCCCTCAAGAGTTGGTTCTGGCCAGCTCAGTGGATTGCTTCAAAAAAGGCCTGGATTCTTTCTTAGATACACAGAAAATAAATGGATACTAACATTTATAGGTAAATATCCGATTGCCTTTCGGGAGATCGGGAAGGAATAAATATATTAAAAAGTAAGGATCCCAACACTGAACCTTGGGGTACACCACTGACAACCCTCGACCATTCAGAGTATGAATCATTAACCACTACTCTCTGAATACGATCTTTTAGCCAGTTTTCTATCCATTTACAGATGGATTTTTCCAAACCTGTAGACTTTACCTTACACATCAGCCATGTGTGGGGAACTGTGTCAAACGCTTTTGCAAAATCCAAGTATACCACGTCCACCGCCACCCCTCTGTCCAAGTATACCACGTCTACCGCCACCCCTCTGTCCAAGGTTTTGCTCACCCCCTCATAAAAAGAAATCAGATTTGTTTGACAACTTCTGTCTTTCATGAATCCATGCTGTCTGCTGCTTAAAATATTTTTTTCCAGCAAGAACACATCTATGTGGTCTTTTATTAAACTCTCCAGTATCTTCCCAACTATAGAAGTTAAACTAACACCAATGCACACAACTTCATTCATCTCTACTGCACCGACATACACTTTGCAATTATCCCATTGTTGTTATAAGTGCAGAAAATCTCTAAATCTCTGTTTCCAGCTATTCCTTGGCAGTTCTGATAGCTGCACTTGCCTACCAGAAATATATAATACCATATTACAATCTCCCTTCACCCTTTTGGCCTTCCTGTCCTTGTTCATTTTATAGAATTTTATTTTTCAGGGAGTCTTTAGTTGGATCTCTGTAGTTTTGTACTCAGTGGTCCAAACAAATGGCAACCACTCCAAACTATGACTGGCCTTTGCAGCAAGGAGTACATGGAAGGGCGACATGTCAAAAAACTACAAACAAACATTGCCAGATCACTTACCAGCCAGCCAACAACAAACCAAATTAACCTTGTCTAACAGTTTACTTAAAACCAGGGGTTTACTTCACACACTTTTTGCAAATACATGTGTAAGCTGTAAAGGCCACGTCACAGCACCCTGGTTACATCGTTAATCTGGTTGAAAAAAAGACACAAGTCCATCCAGTTCAACCATCATGAAAAGAAAAAAATAACACATACACAAATAGAAGACCTCCATGTACACTATCCTATATCCACAGTTGATCCAGAGGAAGGCAAAAAAAAATCCCCAGCAAAGCATGGGAAAAAAATTCCTTCCTGATCCCCCAAGAGGCAATCGGATATTCCCTGGATCAACTTTACCTATAAATGTTAGTATCCAGTTATAATATGTGCATTTAGGAATGAATCCAAGTCTTTAACCACCAAATGACAGCTACAGCGCGGTTGTCCAGTTCTGGGAGGGCGTCATATGACATCCTGCCAGAACGCGCCCCCGGGGATCTCCATGATCGCTGTGTCCTACAGACACAGCTGATCATGTGATGTGATAAAAGGCCAATCACAACGGCCTTTTACCACATGATCAGCTGTGCCCAATGACACAGCAGATCACTGGTAAATGCAGTTGCCGGTTATCAGCTGCACTGCCAATAACCGGCATTTATCAGAGGACGGATCAGCACTGATGATTAGTGCTGCCCACAAGTGCCCAGCAGTGCCACCTATCAGTGCTGCCCAGCAGTGCCACCCATCGATGTCCAATAGTGCCGCCTATCAGTGCCCATCATTGTTGTATATCAGTGCCGCCTATCAGTGCAGCCTCCTCAACACACATCAGTGAAAGCGATAAATTGCCTGCTTGCAAAATTTTATAATAGAAACAAAGAAAATCTTTCTTTTTTCAATGTTTTTTTTGCTGTTTTTTGTTTATAGCACACAAAATAAAACACCCAGTGGTGAGTAAATACCACCAAAAGAAATCTCTATTTGGGTGAAAAATATGCTAAAAATTTCATATGTGTACAGTGTTGCATGACCGTGCAATTGTCATTCAAAGTGCAACAGCACTGAAAGCTGAAAATTGGCCTGGGCGGGAAGGGGGTATAAGTGCCCGGTAGGCAAGTGGTTAAAACAATCTACTAAGGTGCCTAGAACCAGCTTTTGAGGGAGTCTATTCCACATTTTCACAGCTCTTACTGTGAAGAAAACTCCATATTTGGAGAGGAAATCTGTTTTTTTTTTTCCTCCAGAGGTCAAGTGATTCCGTGTCCTCTATGATGCTCTTAAAGTGAGTAATTTTAACTGTACACCAAGTTCCCTATATGAACCACTGATGTATTTATACATGTTGATCATATCCCCCCTTAATCTCCTCTTCTCAAGAGAGAATAAATTCAGTTCCGCTGAGCTCCTCCATGCCTCGTATCAGTTTAGTTACCCTTCTCTGTACTTTCTCCAGTTCCCCAATGTTCTTTTTGTGAATTGGTGGCCAAAACTGAACTTCATTATCCAGATGAGGTATTACTAATGATTTGTACAGGGGTAATATGATATCTCTCTCTCTGGAGTTTATACCTCTTTTAATACAAGAGAGGATTTTGCTCACTTTAGAAACCGCAGCTTGGCATTGCATGCCATTATTAAGCTTGTGATCTGCGAGAACTCCCAGATCCTTCTCCACCATTGATTCCCCCAGTTGTACCCCCCCCCAGTATGCATGCATATTCTTAGCCCACCCACCTCATTTGCCACATAGTTGCCCAATTAAACAGTGCATTGAGGTCGGCTTGTAAGTTGGAGACATCCTGCAAGGGGAACTATGTCACATGCTTTTGCAAAATCTAAATATGCTATGTCCACAGACACAACTTCTGTCTATCTTGAATCCATGCTGACTTTTGCTTAAAATGTGTTTTTGTTTTTTTTTAAGCAAGAACTCATCTATGTGGTCTTTTATTAAACTCTCCAGTATCTTCCCAACTATAGAAGATAAACGAACAGGTCCATAAGTACTCAGTATAGATTTTGACCCCTTTTTAAATATAGGCACCACATTGGCTTTACTCCAATCCAGTGGTACTATGCCAGTCATTAAAGTGTTCCTAAAAATTAGAAACAATGGCTTTGGAATGACAGAGCTCAATTCTTCAAGGACCCGTGGGTGTATGTAATCCGGTCCAGGTGCTTTATTCTGTCTAATTTTTTCTGGACCATATCAATTTTAAGTCATTGTGGATCAGTATACTGGTTAATTCTGTTTGTTGCAGGCTGGCTGGTAAGTGAGCTGGGAATTTTGTTGTTTTGACATAAGTCACCTTTCCAAGTGCTGTTTGCTGCAAAGGCCAGTTAGAGGTTGAGGTGGTTGCCAATTAATTTGTACTGTTGGTGAGGGGGTGCACTGGATACCTTCGCTGCTATTGGTGGGTGTGGGCTCCCTCAAGGCATACCTGCCCTCAATCTAACCATTATTATGTATGTGCTCCAACTTTGGAGACTTTCAAAATTTATAGAGTTAGGACTGAAGTACACTGAGGTGTGGTGATGTGGTCCCTGAAGCTTACACATGTGTTTGCAAATGTGATTAAACTAATCATCTTAGTTGTAACGTGAACTGTATGTCAAGGTTAATTCAGTTTGTTGTAGGCTAGCTTGTAAGTGAGCTTGGATTTTTTTTTTTTTTTTGTATTCAGTGGTGCTAAATACTTTTTCTCATCAGCAATATATAACAGTCTTGTGACTTCTATTAGTGTCTGGCCAAGCATCGATTAAAGCTTGTAGGAGGAGTTTTCATTCTCCTCTGACTGTCCTGTGAGGCTGCCTGACCTCGAACCCTCTGGCTGATTGGCCGATTGGCTGATCACATGCACCTTTCCAAAGAAAAAAAAAAACTCTACACATGCTCAGTTTAGTGTGTATTGCTAGAGTGACTCCTAGAGCTCTGTACTATAAGCCAATGGATTGGGGACAGTAGAAGGGGAGGAGCAGAGGAGACAGGATCAAACAGCCTTTTTACACAATGTGGAGGATTACCTCCTTAGATTCCATAGTGAGTATAACAATTATGCTTTACTGCATATACAGGCTGATTTTACTGTTGTAGGTTTAGCTACACGTTTTAAATCTGTTAAATTGATTGCAAACATCAACCAGTTTATGTTGGTAATGTTGTTTCATTGTTGTCTTGTAGCTACTGGCTGAGGAGAAGGCTTCTGTCAAGGCTCAGGTGACATCTTTACTGGGAGAGTTACATGAGAGTCAGATGAGCCTGGAGTCCTCGCAGCAGGAGATGAAGAATGTGGAAGGGAGGTAAGGGGTGCCAATACGTGGCAGGAATGACCAATTACCAGGCATATGCATGATAAACTGCACTGTACTTTGTCTTCTGGTACACCTAAAATACAGCATGGTTTTATACCTGAAAGTGAACTGGGCTTTAAAAAGATGCAGGCAGTAGGGAACAGTAACCTCTATGCACATGATCACACAAAGACCTTCCAGTTATTAAAGTGGGTGTAAATTCTTATATATACCCAGTGAAGTTACTGGCCTCAGGTGATACACAGAGATGAAACAAATCTTCCTTTGTAAATTGTACCTGTTTATCTGCACTCTTCTGCTCTATCTTAGCTATATCTGTTCATAGTCCAGCATTTATAAAGCTTGTCGGAGAGTTCAGATAAAAAAGGGGGCAGAGAGCTGGCACGACACATTGCACAGTACAGTGAGGAGAACTCTGAGAGCTGATTGGAGGGAAGAGAGACACCCCTCTTCACACAGCTCAGGAATAAAGCTGAGGCTGTCAATCTACTGGAGGTCCCTCCCCGTCACCATTTTTTTTTCTTAGTGTCAAGAAAACCTTTTAAGTGATTCATGTTGATAGCAGAGGAATGAAGCAGCAGACAGAAATGACACTTAATGCTTTTAATTAAGACACACACTATAGAGGCATTTGCTTTGTTCATATTTCATGTCTGAGGTTTACAACCACTTTAAATGAAAATATTACAAAGTCTACTATCCACCCAGAAGATGGCACTTCACTCTTTTCACAGAAAGAAGCCTGTTTACTCCACAAGCATTGACTCCCTTTTCAAACAGCTTAGTGCCAGGAATAATCAAATAAGTGTGATATCTTTTTGGCTAACCCATAATGCCTTGAGAATTCTTTGTCAAGTATTACATTTTTTCTAAAATAGTTTATATATTATATAGTTTATATATAATAAAAAGGTCAAAAGCGCATAAACCGTACAACAATACTAAAATATAATTGACCTAAACCATTCTAGTTTCCGTTTTGATGTAAAATGAGGAACAGGTTGTGTGATTGGTTAATTCTAGTTGATAATCATACATGTATGATAAAATCTGAAGCATCAGAGCTTGAACTGACATGTTATATTGTGTCACGCCCAGGGGCGGACTGACAACTCATTGGGCCCCCGGGCAATAGGGGATCATGGGGCCCCTGTGTCCTTGCCCAAACTCAAAAAAGCCTATGAAAAAGGTATCAGGGGCATCTCATGAGGCCCCCTACTGACCTCGGGCAGTGCCCGAATTTCCAAACGGTCAGTCCGCCCCTGGTCACGCCTCATGTATATATGGTATTTGAGATCCAGTAGTTATTGATAATATGTTGGCCAAAGGTCCTGGACATGAGGATGACTCTTTCAAGTGGGTAGATGCCTCTTTTTTTGAAAGGGGAGATTTGTAACATTTCTTTGTGTGCTGACATTGATTTCCAGTGAGAAATGTTATACTTACCATAGCTGTACAGGCCTTCTGTACAAGGCCAATCCTCCCTGGCGAGTTCACCTCTGTAGGCCTCTTTAGGAGCACAAGACTGTGTTATTAGCACCTGGATAGGGGAGAGGTTGTTAAAGGGGAAGAAACAAATGACTCCATTTAAAGATTCCCCTGTTCTGGTGACAAAATAAACATTTTGGAGTTTTTTCATTTAAACAATAACTCCACCTTTTGCAACGTTACACCGGTTTTGAGAGTGTAACATGGTGCCAAGCAAAAAATAAAGTATTCACAGTTTTTTTCTGCGGTTGTGTCAGAGGGAGGAGACATGTAGGAGGTTGTCATGTAAATGGCTAAGTTTTGTTTTAAAGTGGTTGTAGAGGCTGAGGTAAAAAACCTTCAGTGTGCAGCTCTTTTTTTTGTAATCTGTTTTGTTAAAGGGTTAATCCACCTGAAACTGATCATTTAGAATGGACAGTGGTGTGTTCAGTCTCTGTTTTTAAATGGCTGCCTACACATTACAGCCAATGAAAAGACTGTAGATGTGAAATGTGATCTTACTTGTTCTACTGCAGCCTGCGGAAATTGAGAGAGCAGCAGCGAGAGTGGGAGCTCCAGATGAAGCAGCATGTGACGCAGCTGGACCAGCGGCGGATGCAAGTGCAGAATCTAGAGACGGCACTGAAAGTGGAGCGGCAGAATGCCAGTGAGGAGATGTAAGTAACTTTATAGTGACAGATATCTGGACCTATCCTTTCATCCTGAGGTGGTCAACCTTTTTTTTTTTTTTTTTTTTTTTTTTTTTACATTGCCCAGCAGTGTTAAAATCCTATTTTAATACCTAAATTTCATTATTTTGGGGCCCCCATCTTAATATAAACCCTATCATAGGAATATTGTGTCCAGTATTCTAGGAGGTCAGAATCTGATTGCGGGGCCCTGATGTTCTCACAGCCTATTCACCTAGGACTTACACAACTGCTAATGGCTTGGTAGAATTAATACATGTTTTTTTTAGGACGTGGAGGAATCATCTGCACCTCTAGTATGATGAGTTCCAGGTAAAGCTTTGTATCTGCTCACACAGCCAACAGATCCAGCGCACACAGGGTGGCAGCGGCATTTTTAACTGGTTGCATAGACTTTTTCCAAGGTGGCTGAAAATCAATTACCTCCATTCTTTATTGTGTAAAAGATAAGTCCCAATTCCATTTTTTCACTGAGGATTCTGCCTCCAGCGGTGATCTCTCTTTTTACTACTTCTTTGTCCGAACCCCCTTATGATCCCACTAGCACCATCTTTTCCCCTCCGCAGTCCCAAAACCAGACGTCTATTCTTAGCTGCCTCTCCTCCCTACACTCACGCACATCCCTCCCTGGACTCCTCTCCTGCACCTACTAAATGTTATTGTATCATCCACCGTCCTTGCCTGCACGTAGTTCTAAACATCATACCTTCTGCACTACTTCATATACTGCCCAATGTACAGGCCGCACACTTGTCCTGCACATACTAACCATCTCTGCCCGCATCACCCACCTCCTAAACGACATATCAGACTGGATGTCGCTCCATTTCCTCAAGTTAAAACTTTCCAAAACCGAGCTCCTAGTTTTCCCCCCAGCCCGTGCCCCCCATCCTCTCCATCAGGACTAACAAAGCCACCATAAATCCCACCCCATACGCCAAAGTCCTAGGTGTCACCCTGGGCTCAAGCCTTTCCTTCCAACCTCATGTCCAATCACTATCAAATTCATGCAGGCTCCACCTCCGCAACGTCTCCAAGATACGCATGTTCCTCACCCCAGACACCACTAAACAAGTCGTACACTCCCTTATTATCTCACACCTAGACTACTGCAACTCCCTTCTCTCCGGCCTACCCCAACACAGGCTATCCCCGCTCCAGTCTATCCTGAACTCAGCGGCTAGACTCATCCACCTCACCAATCGCTCCACTTCTGCCACCCCCCTCTGCCAATCCCTTCACTGGCTCCCCATTGCCCAACGCATTAAATTCAAATTACTAACTCTGACATACAAAGCCATTCATAACGCTGCCCCAAACTACCTCACTGACCTGATACCCAAATACCACCCTACCCGTGCCCTTCGCTCCTTACTAGACCTCCTACCCTCTAGCTCCCTGGTCTCCTCCTCCCACGCCCGACTGCAGGACTTCTCCAGGACCTCCCCCATCCTCTGAAACTCCCTACCCCAATCCATCAGACTGTCACCTACCCTCCTCACCTTCAGGCGCACCCTGAAAACCCATCTCTTCAGGGAAGCCTACCCCACCCTTACCTAACAGCCATTCTCCTCCACTCCTCCTACCACTCCACTCCATCCCCCACAGCCACTTCCTCCTGTACCTCTACCCCCTCCCTCCTAGATTGTAAGCTCGAAAGAGCAGGGCCCTCGTACCCCTCGTGTATTGTATTGTCTCATGTACTGTCCCCCCACTTTAATGTACAGCGCTGAGCAAACCTTTTGGCGCTATATAAACACTGTATAATAATAATCCCCATGCATCTTCTACTTCTCTCCTGCAAATATGGCCACTTATCATACTCTGTGAACTTCTTTCTGCACATCCTGACAGCAATCGTGCTCCTCATGCCTCTCCTGAACATACTTATGGCTGTTTTACTTCTTGCACATACTGCCCACTGTTGTACCCTTCGCCTTCCTCTCCTGCATCTATGCCCCCCCCCCCATCATACACTCAGCACTCCTGTCCTGCACATACTACCCCATGTCATGCTTTCCTCACTGTTCGCCTGCACAGCTTACCAATCAAAACAATCTTCAACATGATTTTGAATATATACAACCTTGCTTGTTCTGGAATTCTTTTGCTTGTCACTAGTAAATCCTTGTTTTTGAGTGCTAGATCTACCAAACACAGCGGAATTATCCTTACACTGTATATGTTTCAGGGGTCAGGTAGCCCAGACTGCTTTTGTGTCTTGGAAACAAGGCTAAAACATTGGACTAGTTGTTTGTGTGCTGCAATTTATACTTATTGGTTGAACTAAACAACTCTTTTTTTCAGCCTCACTAAATATGTAACATAATCCAGGATCTTCCCTAACAACCATTTGACCTCAGCAGAGATGGTGCTGGAAAAGGTTGAGTCTTCAATCAGTCCTAAGTTGTTAGGAATTCATTCATAAAATACAAAGCTTCTGTAAATGGCGGAGTAGCACTCAGCCCATCTTTATTTTCTGATGGGAAGTCCCTGCACCACTGCTGCTAGTAATATTAGAGTAGGAACTAGTTCCTTTGGAGCAGCTTGGTCAAAACAAACTATTAAAATGTAAATGAAACATGGAGTTAGTAAACTGCAGGCAAACCGATAAATACATAGCTGAATACATACTTGCCAAACGATTTGTATTTACGTCAATCCGGTTCTGAGATTTTCACAGCTCTCCCATGCAGCACAGTCCCATTTTAGCAGAGCAGGAGAACGGATTTTGTTTTTCCTTCTGCAGTCCAGTAACACTTAAAGGTCTTGTCCCTTCCCCAGCCTGTGACTGGACAGTGAAAAGGGAAGCAGCAGATTAATGAGATCCACTCTGCTCTGTCCTTCTATTAGCATGCTCCTTGTGCTGCTTCTCCCTCCTCTTATCTGATCTCAGGTGTAGTGTACAGGGACGGCAAGGCCCTGCAGTGGGGTTATAAAAACAGTTGACTGATGTTTTCACCTCCCTCAACTGTACACATTGCTGCAGTCACACAGTGACCAGCTTTATCTAGCATGTTGCAAAAACATGCTCCATTCAAGCAAGTGGGACCGTGCCACATCCCGATGTAGTGGGAATCCTTCTCCTCCCACCCACCCACCTACCCAAGAAAACAGGCTTCAGAATGTTGCATAATATCCCCCACTTGCCTATCCATGTGAATATCAAGTCAAATTCAAGTACCTACACTGCTTACAAAAAAATCTAAATGAATACAGAACTGCATGAATTTGTGTCTTGTATCTGCCATCTTGTACCGTCCATGAAAACTGGATGGAAAGAAAAAACAATTCCTGTGTCAGGTAAAAAAAAAAAAGTCTAACTGGCAGGTCTTTGCAGTAGAAGGGCCATTTGTACTCCTTTTTTTTTTTTTTTTGGAGCCTGGAGAGAATTGTACCAGCGATCAGCAGACTTCTGGTGCAAATGCTGGACTCCTGCAGACTGTAACTGCCTGCCTGTATGATATATGGGCACACAGCTTACACTCTGACAGGAAGCTCAACAGCGCAGTGGTAGTTCATTGAGAACTACAAGCCGACAGCCACAAAGGATGTTGGTACTTGTAGCTCATTCATTCATAGAACTCTGTTTAATGAATGACATGGTCGTGATGCACTCTTTTCAAAAAGTGACAGCTGGTACAGGGAACTTCTTCCCATACTGCTGTCACACACAGGCAGCAGCAGATCACAGCACAGCTGAAGGAGTGGGAACATGTTCCCAAAGGTGAACTTATCCTTTTAAGTGTCAGTTGACTAATTATGCTACCAAAATTTAATATGTGCTGTAACTTGCCTCCAGCATTGTTCCTGTTTCTTTTATCAGGAGGCCACCATTTTGTTGAAGCCCAAAGCAGATATTTCCCTATTGGAAACACTCCTCATCTTATTGGTCTCAAATACTATATGTAACTTTCTTCAAGTAAAATATGTTAATTTCCAGCCTTGCTTGTATGTCTGGATTCAGATTGCAGTGCTAAAGTAGTTTGTCAGCCTTCCTCTCTAGCAGAGATAAAGGAGAGCATATCCGGGAGATAAGATACTATCCTTATAAGTTTAACTCTTGTGTCTCCTTGGCAGCAGAGTTTGTCCTGTCACCCCCACTTTATTTTCTCACTCCCTAATCTGTGTTCCCTCTGCACTCTGTCACTCCTGCATTCCCTTCAGCAACAGTAAATCTTAAAACCGGTCAGCTGAGCGGCCTCTAGTGGCTCTGATTTTAGGTACAGTGCCAAGAATAGAGAGTAACTGAGTGTGTGCACAGCAAGAAGAGACAGTTTATTACTGGATTTTAAACCGTATAGGCACCTATTTTTAATATAGCTACACCTGTAAAAGAGGCCAGTCTGAAGTGATGTAGTAGGACTTAATTTTCTGACTAAAATTTCCACTTTAACTGCTTGCCGACCAGCCACTGTATAAAAAACGGCCACAGGGAGGCACCGCTGCGCAAAATTACTTTTTAAAACGTGATTTTACAAAACAGGTAGGGGGCGCGCGCGACCGCCCTACCCGTGCCGCCGATCGTGGCTGTGGGTGTCAATCACTGGGTCCCGGCCAGTCATTACCCAGTCATTGCCGGCAAACAGTGACACAGAGCACAGCTGCATTGTTTTCAGTGCAGCTCTGCTCCTTGGCAGTTCCTAACACACTGATTCTGAGAGCGGAGTTTAGCTCTCGGGATCAGTGTGTTCCTGTGAAGTACACATCCCCCGCCCACTAGTAAAACACTCCCCTCACACAGTTAACCCTTTGATCGCCTAAAAAAAAAGTTAACCCCTTCCTCCCCAATGCCATTAGTACAGTGTCAGTGGTTTTTTTTTTTTTGCACTGATCGCTGTATTGGTGTCACTGGGGATGTCAGTGACCCCAAGTCAGTTCCTCCCAGTGTCAAAATATCCGCCGCAGTCCCGCCATAAGTCACTGATCACTGCCATTATTAGTATATAAAAAAAAAAATCCCAGTA